TAGAACTTTAATGATCTAGTCATGGAAAGAAACTGCTTAAATTGTTCTTGAAACTTGAGTAAGGCAAGTCGGGTTGCAACATCGGTTGGTAGATTAATAATTTGATACCCAATCTATGAATGGACCTCATTCAGCTCCCAAGCTTTGAATTGTATGTGATTAGAGGGTAGGTGGTAATAGGACCACACATAAACACTTATGCTCTTATGTTTGTGTTGATAATGATAATGAAACTCAAAACCTGAGCATTACTTTTTTGTACAACAGGACCATGAAAAAAATATTTTTATTGCGGTTGAAAATAATAATGAATTTCAACCTGAATTTAATTGGATATAGATTTTGATTTTGGTTATAGAGTTTGGGATGATAAATTGTTTTAGGATGTTCTTATTCTTCCTCCCAATTTTTCGTGTTTCATCCACTGATTTTTGTGAAAAGTGCATCCACTTCCTATCATCTACTCATATATCCTCCTTTTATTATGTTATTCACTGCTTACGAATGGTGATGAATCTGAGTGCTTTGCGAAAGTAATTTAGGCTCAAAACCATGCAAGGTAGGGGATAGCAATGAAAGAGTAAATTGGCTTCATATTTAAAAAGAATGATACATGAAAATCAGCTAAGCAGCCACGACATAAGACGGTGTTACTAAGAAGTGTATCTTCAATGTTGAAGCCTTGAAGGATAACACAATGATTATGAAGTGTAATATTTAAGGCTTGTGATAAAAAAATTTCAGCAAAAGAAGGTATTGATTGTAATGAGAAATTTTCTCTTATTCATTAAGCTGTTTACTATTAGATTAATGTTAGTATAGTGGCACCGAAAAAATTTGTATCATAAGTAGTTAGATGTCAAGTAAAATTTTCTTCTGGTAATTTGGAGCAGGACATCTACATGGTGAAACATAACGGTTTTAAAGTTTTTGAAAAAGAAACTCTCAAACTAAATAAAAGATTGTATTGATTTCCGGAGAAAATATTATTGATATCAATAAATTAAAGGAATTGCTGTTAAAGGAGCTTAACATGGACTTGAGAGAGGCAACAATAATATTTAATTACTTGTATTAGATTTTTTGATAATTAAAGTTATCTCAATTTGATTATATTAACAAGGTATTGACCAGATTTAAATTGCCAAAGGCAATATCTAAAGTACTCCCTTCAGTGGCCACGCCAAGCTTTCAAAGCACCAATTACTTCAAATAGAGGGTCATAAAATATATGGACAAAGTTCCTTGGCTTCAATTGTTAATCACTAATATACATTGTGGCATTCATTCTTGATATAGCTAGTGCAGTGGAAGTTGTAAACAGGTATATGACAACTCTGCTGAAGGCACATTGGAAGGTGATGAAGTGGATTTTGCATTAATTGTAATGTATTGTTTACACTTTTTTGATATCTGATGAGGATGACATGAAACCACAAAGTTTCATTGATAGTGCTTTGGTTGGTTATTCAAATATTTGAAGAACTACAAAAATGATAGATGCATATATTAAATGATACTGCTTCTTGTCAGTATTACAGTCACAAAAAATGTTGGCTTAGTCTACCACATAAGTAAAATATGTTGGAGTTACTAAGATTGGCAAAGAAGTGGTTTGGCTGACAATTTCTTGAAAGTGGTAAGAAAAGAGCAAGGTGACAATATTCTTTTTTGTGATAGTGTTATACATCTAGCCAAAATTACATCATTTCATTGCAGGACAAAGCATTTTCAACTTAAACATTATTTTATTTGAGGATAGTTGGAATAAAGTACAGTAAGATTGAACAAAATGAATCTAACAACATGCCTGAAATATCTATAAAGACTGTTTCCTTAGAAAAGCTAAGGCTATGAAAAGCCTTAATTAATCTCCCTAAATAATTGAGAGGCGACATCACATATATTTAATTTTTACTAGTGTATCAAAAAATTGGTCATCAAGGGGAGATGGTTAAATTGGCTTGAAAACTATGATTTGATAATACTAGTCTGCATGATATTTGAGAAGATGAAGCATGGCATCATCATTCGTGGCACGTAATGATTGTGGAAATTATCTTGCCTTCAAATCTTACTCGTAAGAGAGATGGTCCATCTCTCTAATATATACCGTTGATGTACAAGTTCCCGAGGAGACCAGGTTGGGAATTATTCCTGTTGATTATTTAATTTCCAAATCCCTTGAAGAGGATTCAAAAGGTGAATGTTAGAAATTAAAAATACCAATTGAGTTTTTCAAATTCAATAAAGTTGTGGGCTCCGAAAATTCGTCCCCGGCCTCCGCTCGCTTTTCTTATTCGGCGAGAGAGTTTTAACGGAGGAGTTGAGCAGGGATCGGTATTTAACGAAGAGGATGGAGCTACGGATCGCAGGATTCGCGCAGGAGTTCCGGGAAATGACGCAAACGGCGCCGATTCCAGCTGAATTCGCGGTTGCAGCGGGATTTACGGAGATTTGAGTGATTTCTCAACGGATACGAGGTTTGTCTGATTTCTATTTTTGTTCTTTTACACATAGGTCAACAAAAGTTTATGAATCAATCTTTTTTAAAATTAGTCCATTAAAAATTAGTTCCCCTTTGGTCATATAACTTGCTCATTTCTTTTTAGGTAAAACCATGGAAATTATGAAATGCTATTTCAATTAAATGGTGTCGGTTAATGAGCCCATCAATTTAATTTACATAAACAACTGGATTGATATCATTATTTTAGGAGATGTTTTCTTAAGAAATATAAAGCGTTTCATTTTTCATTTGCTAACGTTGAAACATTTAGGACAAAATATAGTTTAAATGGTTTCAATAAGTGTTTTGTTTTCGTAATAATTATTTTTTTAATATTGATAAAAATATTATATTATATTTCATGAATGTGTTCAGTATGCTCAAATTGATCTAAGTTCGATCGGATTTATGACTAACTGTTTTAAGCCCACTGTGTTGATTTTCTTCCAGTGAAATGTCTTGATGTCAGCATTATCACTAATATATACAACTATTGATCCATATATTTTCATGTTATGCCTTTCAAAATTGACTAACTTGAGTCAGTTCAAGTCTTTGCTCAAACACTATGTTGATACGTGTTATTATTTTGTAAGTGCAAAAATTTAGATGATTACACCAGTTATTTGGAAGTTTTAGGTTTCATTTGGGACATCTTTCATTATGCTTCCTAAAACGGTTGTCTAGTATAAAATTTTCTAATTCAAGAAATTTTTGTACTAGAAAGCTCTTTTAGAAAGCAATAAAAAAGCTGTCCCAAACAAAGCTTAAATTAATGGAGGACTCCTTCAAAGTTTGGAAAAATACACTAGCGGTCAAATGCAATTTAATCTAAAAGCTTAAGCTTTTGTGTTACAGGATGAATTTTTAGGAGTTGTTGCAATTATGTCATTATCTACGTTGGACTATTGCAATATAACTTTTGCAATCTTTAGGAGAAAATTTAATAATGGACGCACTTTCAGGTCTAATGGACGTGCAACATTTTTTCTATAGACATCTTGGTTCTTGTGTCATTTAGGCTTGATGACATTACGCACTGTTGAGCTTTTTAGGGCTTTATGAGTTTGAGTTTGAGACGAGGATTTACAGAGGAGATCTAAGTTTTTCTACAGTGCTGAGTTAAGGGGGAGAATAGATAGACATATTACTGTGCATATTCCTCTTTATAATTATTCATGTCATATTGCTATGATTGTTTTTCATGATTTTCTTGGATTGCATAGATGAGGTACTTCAGGACATGTCCTTTATTAGGATTGCCAATTTTGAAAATTGGGCCACTCTCGGGAATGCCTTTGCCAATTTTTTCATGCTTGCTTTGGGTGGCATTTAAAATAGGAATTTTGTAGTATTTTTTTGAAAGTTGTACTTCTTTCTCTCTTTGCTCCTCTATTAGGTGCGGAGACTAGACGTAGAGATACATCCGGACATCCACTTAAAATTTGACACGTGGGGTGCACTTTGATTGCACTTTTTTGTTCGCTTTACCTGCGCTTTAGTTGCACTTTAGTTGCGCTTTAACTGCTCTTTTTTTGCGCTTTTTTACTGCGTTTTACTTGTACTTTGGTTGCACTTTTGGTGCGCTTGGCTTAAAGTTCCGCGGACACATTAAATATATAAAGTAAAAAATAAATTCAATTGAATATCCACGTGTCCACTCCATGTGTCACCATTTTCTTGGAGTTCGGACGTATCTCTATGTCCGGTCTCCACCCCTAATAATTTTCCCTAATTCACACCCCCGTGACACTTTTGAGGAGGCTTCGGTGGCTTAGAGGTGCATGTGAGGTGTCTTTGTGAGGCAGTCTCTAGTGAGAAGTTATAGGGATACTTATTTGTTATGAATAAGGCTGCATTTAGAATTTAGGAATAGGTCATGATTGTTGGTTCTTGTGTAAATCGCTGTTTTTTTATCTTTATGGTGGAGTGATTCTCTCTCATCTACCAGGAAGCCACACAATTCTTGTTCTCTATAATTGTTGTGTCTCTCTCTTTTATGATAACTTTACGGTGCATCATACTCTATCTCATTGACATTTCTGTACCATTTTTGCACTCTCGTTGTAGCTATATATAAAGTGAGATATAATGGATCTGGTCTTTGGTTCAGGTAAATTGAACCTGTCAATTAGGAAACAGACGTGCTTAATAGAAATGAGCTAGGAACCAATCCTCAACCTCTTTCCTATGGGCTTTCCAAGCCTGACCCTAACCAATAACCTCTAGAAGCTGACCTGAATTAAGCTTTTGGGGTTGTCCATGGAGAGTTCATTGATGTTTTAGGTCCAAATACCCTACATTAACTGTTCTTGAACTTGAGCAATATTACAAACTCAAGCTCCTGATTTGTACAAGGTGTCCGACCTCAAATCTAAAAGCATTCAGTTCTTTACTTGTATAATCGTCTCAAAGTATAACAAGCTAACCTGGATCAGGATTTGCTTTTGCATTAAGCTTTATTATTATTGTAGTTTTTGGTGATGTGCAGAAACGCAATCAAATTCATTGCGAACTAGAGAAAATACGAGGAGGAATTCGTACATACAGAAAGGATTCGGAGGCTGCAGAAGTTGCTGAGGCTGAAGCACTGAAGGAGCTGGACAATATCAAAAGGCTTATTGAAGTGCTTAAGCTGAACATAGAGAGAGCTCAAACTGAGGAAGCAATAACAAAGCAGGATTCACAATTCGCTCAGCTTCTAGCCAAAGATATCGAGGACGGTAGTGCCAATGAGGCAAGCGTTGCATCAAAAACGCAGCTTGAGGTTGCTAAAGCAAGGAGTGGAGCAGCAGTTGCAGAACTAAAAACTGTGAAAGAGGAGATAATGGCACTTCAAGAACAATGCGCTTCTTTAGTTGGTCAAGTTGACATCACAATGAGAAGATCTGAGGAAGCACTTTCTGCTTCGAAGGAGATTGAGAAGGAAGTGGAGAACTTAACGCTAGAGCTCATCACCGCTAAAGAATCGCTTGAATCTGCCTATGCTGCACATCTTGAGGCTGAAGAGCATCGCATGAGTGCAGCTTTGGAAAGAGATGTGGATTTCCTGAACTGGGATAAGGAAATGAAGCAAGCTCAACAAGAGCTGTACGGGCTTAATGAGCAACTTTTGCAGGCAAAGGATCTTAAGGTGAAATTAATAGTAGCCTCCAGTTTGTTGGCTGACCTCAAAAAAGAATTGGCTGCATATATTGAATCCCAACTAAATGAACAATCACAAAGCTTTGCAGAAGAAGACAAGGCCAAAGATAGCCTGGATGAGTCAAAAGGATTTCAATTAGCTCTGGCTTCAAAGAAAAAGGAGCTTGAGGATTTAAAGGCTAATATTGAGATGGCTAAAGATGAAGTCACCATACTAAGAGTAGCCGAGTCCTCACTCAAGTCTGAGCTCGAGAAGGAAAAAGCGGAACTTGCTTCATCAAGACAGAGGGAAGGAATGGCGTTGATAGCTGTTTCCTCAGTTGAAGCTGAGATTGGAAAGACAATAAAAGAAATAAAACTTGTCGTTGAGAAGGAGAAGGAAGCACGGGAGAAGATGGTGGAGCTTCCAAAATTGCTTCAGGAAGCAGCTCTTGAAGCAGATAAATCGAAGTCATCAGCTAAGATGGCACGAGAAGAGCAAAGAAAGTTCATGGACGAAGTAGAACAAGTTAAATATACTTTGAGAACTGCAAAGACTAGGCTGACTGCAACTTCAAAGGAAATTGAAGCTGCTGGAGCATCAGAAAGGCTAGCATTTGCAGCTGTTAAAGCTCTTCAGGATAGTGAGGAGGCTGCTGCCTTGGGAGACTCTTCTCGAGGAGTGAACCTTCCTCTTGAGGAGTACTACACTATGAGCAAAAAAGCCCATGAAGCTGAAGAGTTATCTAATCAGAGAATCACTTCTGCGACAGCCCAAATTCAAGTTGCGAAGCTGTCTGAATTAAGTAGTTTGCAGAAATTGAAAGAAGCATACCAAATGATGGATCGAATGAAGGAAGAATTGAGCTTTGCTACTGAGAAGGCTAATAAAGCCAAAGAAGGAAAACTAGGGATTGAACAGGAGCTGAGAGAGTGGAGGGCTGAGCATGAGCAGCGGAGGAGAGCCAGCGATGGTGGCCAAATTGCTTCCAACACTCCAAGGAGCCCAACGAAGATCTTTGATGATGGCTGTGAAACAAAAACTGAGAACATAGCAGGTGATAAAACGGAACATACTGTTCCAGAGTTCAAGCCAAGGAAGAAGTCATTTTTCCCTCACATGGTAAGGTTCTTAGCCAGGAAAAGGGCGCAATCAAGGAAATAGTCAGCTCATTTGGAGTGTGCATATTTTGTATTTATTATATTTGGAGTATCCTTTATTGTTCAGATCTTGACTTTTTTTTTGGGAAGCCCAATTCCATTAATAAGAAAAAGAGTTACAATGATGTATAAGAAAAGAAAAAAGCAGCTCTCCCGTCATATGAAATAAATAGAACAACATATAGCCAGAAAATAGAAATGTTTTTGTGCAATATGATCATAATTCTGACTGTCCAGATTTTCAGTTGGATTTCATCAAGGATCAGCCTTAAGTCCCTTTCTTTTTGCTTTAGTCATGGATGTTCTCACTAGACATTTGTAAGAGGTTGTATCCCGATGTATGCTTTTTGCTAATGATATTTAGGAGTGTCAAAAATCGACACAACCTGAAACTCGGCTGGGACCCGAGTCGAAAAAATCCAGGTTTGTGTCAACCCGTTTGTGAAACGGGTTGGGTTCGGGTTGACCCGGAAATCCGCAGGTCAACCCGAATTGTCCCGGAAGTTGCATTAGTCAGCTGCTCAGGGTCGTGTCATTTGGTCGCGTCAATTAATCATTCGGAAGTTGCATCACTCAGCCTGTCGTTGTCCTGCCCGCAAGTTGCCTTTGCCGCTGCCATCCCGCCAGCAAGTTCGTGAGTTGTGGCTACCACTGCCGCCGTCCCTCCAGAGAACCAATTAGCCAAAGACTGCCGCCCTCCCTCCCTCATGGGTCGGGTCAGGTCAACCTGATAACACGCACGGGTCGGGTCCGAGTTGGCAATCTTGACCTGTTTGCAAAATCGGGTTGAGTTAGTGTCGACCCGTTTAAGGTCAGGTCAAGTCGGGTTCGATCCGAACCCGACCCGTTGACACGAATTGACACCCCTAGTGATATTCTTCTTGTTAATAAAACTAGAGAGGGAGTTGAAGGTAAAACTTAAATTATGGTGGTCAATCTTAGAGTCTAAAGATTTTTGTTTGAGTAGATCTAAAATTAAATATATGGAGTTTGATTTTAGTTAATAGTTTTTGTGGGGGGGATTGTGACTTTGGGTGATCAAGCCATTAATAAGAGTACATGTTTTAGATATCATGAGTCTATTTTTTAGAGTGATGGTGAAATAGATGGGGATATTATTAGTAGAATTCAAGTTGGATGGTTGAAGTGGAGGATGCATCAGGATTGTTGTGTGATAGAAAAGCCCCCCTCAAACTTAAGGAAAAATTCTATAAGATGGTAGTTAGACCTGCAATATTTTATGGTGCAGAATATTGGCCATTAGAAGAGAAGCATACTATTAAGTTAAGTGTTGTAGAGATGAGGATGCTCAGGTAGATGAGTGACTTTATTCTTAGAGATATGATATGAAATGAGAATATACGTGAAAAGGTTGTAGTAGCTCTAGTGGAAGATAAGATTAGAGAGAGTCGCCTTAGATGATTTGGTACATTGATCACATAAAATGACGGCCTTTTGATGACCCGGTTAGGAAAATATATGTATTAGATTTTACTTATGTTAAGAAAGGTAGAGGTAAATTTAAAAGACTTGGTTCGAAAATATGAGAAATGACATTTCTTTATTAGATTTAAATGAGAATTTAATTTTTAATAGAGCATAATAGAGAAAAATGTTTCATGTATCCGACCCCACCTAGTAGGATAAAAATTTGATGTTGTTATTATTGTAGGTCTCAAGAGAAAGCTGGAGCGGCAGAGGGGGGCTTAAGGAAAAATTCTATAAGATGGTAGTTAGACATGCAATACTTTATGATGCAGAATATTGACCATTAGAAGAGAAGCATACTATTAAGTTAAGTGCTGTAGAGATGAGGATGCTTAGGTAGATGAGTGACTTTATTCTTAGAAACAAAATATGAAATGAGAATGTACGTGAAAAGGTTGGAGTTGCTCTAGTGGAAGATAAGATTAGAGAGAGTCGCCTTAGATGATTTGGTACTTTGGTCACATAAAATGGCGGTCTTTTGATGACCCGGTTAGGAAAGTATGTGTATTAGATTTTACTTATGTTAAGAAAATGTAGAGGTAAACCTAAAAGACTTGGTTTGAAAATATGAGAAATGATATTTCTTTATTAGATTTAAATGAGAATTTAATTTTTAATAGAGCATAATAGAGAAAAATGTTTCATGTATCCGACCCCACCTAGTAGGATAAAAATTTGATGTTGTTATTATTGTAGGTCTCAAGAGAAAGCTGGAGCGGCAGGGAACAATTTCAAAAATAATAGAGAAACATAATCGCATTCAAAAAGAGATAAGCTACACTTTTAATATAAAAATCACAAAGGGAGCATTTCATATCAACCTGCATTCCCCTTTTAAAAAAATAGCAAGTTGAGATTTAAAGGAGACTACAACTGAATTGTTAAAAACAATATTGTTGCAAGGAGTAGCAATAGTCTGAACACTAGTGATTGCTTGCTTAATATGGGAAGGGATGCAAATGAGGAAGATTCCGGGAGTTAGAGTATTAGTTTTTAACGATAGAAAAGGTATTAAAAATAGCCTCTTTTGCTTTAACAACCATCAAGTGAAGAGATTTTTAAAAGAAAGAAGCATTAACGTGAATTTTTTTAAAGGGAATTTTTTTACTTTATAATGCATGTATTTTATTTTAAATCAAATAAAAAATTATTAATATAAAAAAAAACATTTAAAATTAGGGCTGCAAACGAATCGAGCCGAGCCGAGTATGTGAGTATTCATGTTTGTATTCAAACGAATCGAGCCGAGCCGAGTATGTGAGTATTCATGTTTGTATTCATTTAATATCAGGTTGTTCAAGTTTGATTCATGTTTGTTCGAGCTTTATCGTTTGTGTTCATATTTGGTTCATTTAAATTAATGAGTGTTCATGTTCGGTTCATGTTCAGTTCATGTTCGTTCGTTTAGTGTTTATCGAGCTTTAAACAAACAAATATGAACGAGTTATAAACGAGCTCTACTTGTAGATATTCATTAACTTAACAAACGAGCTTTATCGAGCTTCCTAACAAACGATTACATCGAATATGTTCAGGAATAGGGCTGCAAACGAACCGAGCCGAGCCGAGTATGTGAGTGTTCATGTTTGTGTTCATTTAATATCAGCTTGTTCAAGTTTGGTTTTTGTTTGTTCGAGCTTTATTGTTTGTGTTCATGTTTGGTTTATTTAAATTAACGAGTGTTCATGTTTGGTTCATGTTCAGTTCATGTTCAGTTCATGTTCGTTCGTTTAGTGCTTATTGAGTTTGTTCGCGAACTAGAAGGGGAATGGCGATAGATCACCAAGAAGCCCTCTCCTCTTCCTCTCCTGCATCTTCTTCGTTCCATCCATGGTATTCTTTTCCTCACTCCCACTTATTCCTTGCAATTTGAGATATCTAAATCCTATTTTATTTCAGCAGCGCTGTTCGCCACTTTTATGTCGCTGTCGACCGCCTTTTGTTTAAGATGGTCTCTCTCTCTCTCTCTCTCTCTCTCTCTCTCTCTCTCTCTCTCTCTTGTTGAACTGAAGAAAAATGGTTAATTTTATGTTGCAGGATACCCTGGTGGATCTCCTAGGCGTAACAGGGCGGCGGCCGTTTCTTCCCGTTGTTCTGTGCTGCAATTCGCGGGACGAGCTGGATGCTGTTTATTCTGCAGTATCCAACCTCACCTTTATCTCTTCGTTCCCGCTGGTATGTTGCGACCTTCAAATTTACTCCTGTAACATACCATGTGAAATTCCTGGCTTGGATTTAGCCATCTGCTTGTGGGATGGGGTTTTTCAGTCATGCCCGTTATCATTTGTATTCAAGGCTCAAGAGAAGTTGATTAAGTTGTGAAGATGAAGTTTTGATATTTATTGCAAAAATCAACTGATGACAATACATTTCATTCGCACCAATGCCAGCATTATTGAATTGAATATTTTAAACAAAAAAATTTAAAATCATGATCTAAATTCTGTAATTTGAATGGTGGTTGCTGGGTAATTGCTGATACATATATTTTTGTTTATATTTGTGATGCAGTATAGTGATCAGTCTGAAACTGAACGGGCATCTGTCCTTGAAAATTTTCGTCAATCAACCATAAGATGGAATCAAAATGCTAATGCCCATCCTGATGATGGTGTTGATCCTGACAATCAGAAGTCATGCATGATAGTTGTGACATATGCTTGCCTTCCTTTTATAACTTTGGGAGAGGCTCCTTTAGCTGCTCGTGTATTGATAAATTATGAGTTACCATCGAAGAAGGTAAGCCTATGTATCATAGCCATATTATATTGTTCTATGATAATTAATTTTCATTGATGGTATCTCCAATAGAGTGCACATAGTTGTCATGCATCATCAATCATTCAAAAATTTGGATAACACGACTTCCATTCATTTACACTCACATGCTTGCGTTTTCCTTTGTTATCAAGCATAGTATTCAATGTTTTATTAGATACCATTTTTCCTGAGTGATGCAGACATCTTAGTTAAATTGTTTCTTAAGCATATGTTAATTGGTTTGTTTTGTTATAGGATTCTAGAGTGTTCTTGATTTCTCTAGGTTTCTTTGCTAACTTATGAGTATAGGAGTTGTGAGAGGGACGTCTAAGGATGCTATGCGGGACAAAAAATGAATTTAAGTTCGAGCCCAATCCTTTTGTATGAATAGATAGAAGTTAACACAGTTCAAACTACAAATATACGGTCGCAACATCATTTTTATATGTTCATATTAGACATTCAAAGTCTATAACAAAAATAATTCACTTATAAATGCATAAAGATGATGACGAGCCCGATCTTTTGTCGATGAGTAAACAAAGTCGACAAGGTTCGACCAACAAAATGAAACCCATAAGTCCCCGATGATAGCCATATTGATAGAAAATCTCAACTGGTAAAGACTCCAAATACTTAAAAATGTCTCCCAAATTCCCATAAAATACATTCAATTAACTTCAATGTATTTATGAACGATGTTAATATTTAAAACTAAAATAAAATACCTAAACACTTAAAAAAAATCCATCTACCCTCCGCAACAGTTTGGTGGGATGGACAAATTCGAAAATCACTTCAGCTCACAAAAATGAATGTCTGTTCAAGAATATCAGTTGGATTTATTCTCAATTCATCTCTTGTCAGTAAGGACGTGACACGTGTTATCTAACTGGTGGTTTTGCCGCCAAATGGCACCACAAGTAAACGGTTATGACCGGATGGTTTTGCCGCCAAATGACACCATTAAATTACGGTTATGATTAGAGCCCGTATGTTCCCCAACGACATCAAATTCTCAAGTAATGAATCAATAAGATATGATCAATAGGGCACAAAGCCCTCTGTTAGCTAAGGTGGAATCAAATTTGTCATCTTAGACAAATATTCATCACAGTCTACAAGGTACCCTTGGACGAAGCAGACCATGGCTGTCTATAATGATCTTTCTGTCAGGTTGGGTCGACTACCTCCTCTGACTAAGTAGACTAGGGATCATGATGACACGGGATGACGAAACCATGGGATCTTGATCGGGTCTATCACCACTCCCCCACCATCAGCTTTAAGTGCAATGTGATGAATTTTTAATTTTAAATATTAAAGTTTCAAATACCTAGATTCTGCTTCTACTATATGTCGGATGTTACGTATCTATTGGACGACTAGGCTTAATCAAAAGTTATCTCTCGCTATTAGGAGGAGTAATTAACTATAGGGACTTGCACATATAAGAAACCTGAACTCAGATCATAAAGTACTCACAAAATGAGAGTGAAATGTCTGGGTAATGTCTTAATAAAAACCAAATATGCCTTCTGAAAATTTGCCTTGGAACTTGTTAAAACTCTCCTCGATGAGTCCAAGAAAAAGAAAGAGTGCCACGGAGAGGTCGGGGTGCGAAATCGGAGCCCCAACAATAATAGAAGTTTAGTGTCAAGTTTCTTCCATATGATTTTCTAAAAATGACTCATAAATCTCACATTCTGAGAAGAGAGAATTGTTTTGGGCAGGTCATGCAAATGTAACTATCTCCCTAAAGAAGATAGATGCTATATGTGATGCATCTAATGTCTTATAACATCAAATAAAATGTTTCATTTTAGAAGAGCGATCCATGGCTACTAAGATAGAGTTCTAGCATTGTACAGTACGAGGAAATACAAGGATGAAGCTCATTTTAAGATCTCATAGTGTTTGGGGGATTGGAAGTTGCATGTATAAATTAGAGTTATGCTTTCCATTCTTTGCCATTTAGCAAGTGTGACATTGAGCAACAACACATGCTACATTTCTCTTATGCCTCAGCAAAAAAAAAAAACTAACCTCCATCATAGCTATTGTCTTGTCACAACCAAAATGACCAGACACGTCTTCTCAATGCTTTTCTCAATTAGAAAATTTTGTTGTGAATAATTAGTAATTTAGAGATGTAGTACTTGAAATAGCTAGCCATCTCGTATCTAATAGTCATAATTAATAGTAGGTGCATCTGAATTTATGGACCACAAAATTTGAAGTCAGTCTTTTGCAATTAGGGCAATTACTTCTAGCTTTATCAAATTCTATGACCTTTACACTCATAATATTTAATAATTTACATATCTTATTTAGAGCATCAATAACTTTATTCTATACTTAGAATAAATGTGTACTCTTGAATAAATTGAATCCATTTTGCACGTCGGGAGTGAAGTTTTTTCTTTTATCTTTTTGAGTATTTATATACTTAAGAGCTTTATGATCATAGCAGAGTAAAAACTCTCGTGAAAGTTGATAATGTGTCGCCAATAACATTCAACTTGGACGATGACATTAAACTAGCAAGCATATGTAAAGTAATGCTGTAATTTCTTATTGAAGAAATCAATTGCATTACCCTTGTGTTTAAGTACTCCACTGATATCAACCCTAGTAGCATCATAAGATGCCTAAAAATTCTTTTTAGAAGTTGATAATTTCAATACCAGTGGTGTTGTTAAAAGTTCCTTAATGTTAAAAAAGGCATCAGTGGCTGCCTTGTCTAGTAAAATTCATTTCTTTTATGGTAGCGGGTGATTAGAATCATAATAATGATAAATCTATGGATAAACCTTTGATAAAAGGTCAATGTAGGCGAAAATTACGAGCCTTTTTTTTTTTTTTGGCCAAAGCAGGCTATTCTTGAATGACCTTAGTTTCTCATTGTCCACTGAGACACCAATACATGAAATCATGAATCCTAAGAAGATCCTGAAGTTATCATAAATGAACACTTCTTCAAATGAATATATAGCATTTCTTGGTAAAGCAACTAAAAAAAATATTGTTTGCGATGTTTATGATCACTCCTAATTTGAGTAAAAATTAAAATATCATCATATAGATGACCATAAACTTTCCAATAAAGGGATGCAAGATATGAATCATCACATGCATGAATGTGCTCAGGGCATTGGTTATGGCCTTGGAGGAGAGTGAGAAGGAGGCAGCTGAGTTTAGGAACTGGAGGGCATCAGCAGCTTTTAACAGTGTTTCTTTACTTTTGAGTTAAGTAGATTAACTAGTAACTTGAGTAACATTGTAACTCTAAGGCTTCATTTGAGGCTGCTTTTTTACTGCTTCTTAAAGTAGCTTTATAGTAGAAAAGTTTTATTTTTTTACGAAAAAGCTGTTTTAAGAAGCAGTAAAAAAGCCGCCCCAAACGAAGCCTAAATTAGGCACCCTCCAGAGCTGCTGTCAATTCACTCTAGGTCTAGGTGATTTCATCCATAAATAAATCATTGTATTTGGTGTCCAATGAATAAGTTTTGCAACGATGTCTTGTGGAAGAAAAAAAATTGTGTCCAGTTGTGCAGTTCACGCTGATTTTGTAACACTGGATTTCTCTCATCTATCGGTAACGACAACAGGAATAGAGTTTTCTATTCAATGATTGTAATTTTGTGCGTTTTATGAGTTTTATCAAAGTTTAACCTTATGTTGCTTTTACAATAAATACCACATGATTCATCATCCATTAGCTTGTCATGTTATTGTAGCCAATTTTTCAATTTTTTGCAAGCGGAATCTCCATCATTGCCATCATGAACAAAAACTACTTTGTTTCCAGGTCTTTTTTAAAATTTCTTTCTGGAGCACTCTAATGTTATTAGGGAAATTTACTCGAATGAATAGGATAACACCGAAGAAATCCTTGCTGCATGTTTGAAATAAGGTCAAGTTGATGGTGGTAAACTAAGGTTTCATTTGGAAATAATCAATATTCAGAAAGGTGTCCATCATGAGTTGAGTGATAACTGAGAACAATGCAGAGAGGCAGTACTTCGTTCCTCGAGGCACTGTTCTTATTCTAACAGATCATGATAATAGTTTTCATTGTAAAATATCAAGAACAGCTTCCTAATGTGTATTTTTGGAGCAGAAACTGACAAATGAAATTTACTGGAATCATTACAAATATATCATCACACGGAAATTTTTTGTTTTGAAACACGCTTTACTTGCAGATGACATCATTGTAAAAAAACTAGCAAGGAGTTTAACATAAAATAAAACAAAGAAATATGTAATCCATAAGAGGTATATGATGATGAACTTGATGGTTATATGATAGGAAATACTTGAGTTTGCAAGTAACCCTGATGGGAAATACTTGAGTTCGCAAGCAAACCTAACAATAATCTGTAAAACAGCGAGAAAACGGAAGAAAGTATGGTGGAAACAACAATCAAACGATAGACAATCTTATAGAAAGCAAAGTGAAACAAGAACGAAGCAAAGATACAATCTATCCTCAATTCGAGAGGATGATCGTTCTCTCCCAATTTCTAGATGATGAATCTAGAGCCCAAAACCCTAAGAGAACTCCAAGAGAATAACTCCAATGCATGCATCCCCTAACCCTAGCCTCCTCTCCTCTTTTAATACAAATCTTCTTAATAAAAGCTAATAAAATATTTCCTAAAACAATTATTAATTCAAATAGTTTCCTATTGCCTTTTCCCTCTCTCTCCTTGCCACCCTAGGGGGACCCACATGAGTGTGCGGCCATCAAGGAGGCGGTTTAGCCCACCTCCTATAGGTGTGAACCTGCCTCACCTGGGCCGGTTTGGATGCCAGAACCGTGACATTATAATGGATATTGATAATTCTTTCTTTAATTAAGGGAGCAATTTGTTTACTTGAGAATTAATTGGCAGGAAACATATTTAAGACGCATCTCAACTTGCTTGGCAGCAGGTAATTAACTTTCCCAAGTTTCATCATTCTTTTGTCATTGAATAATTTACTTTTAATTGACATGGTTTCCTTCTAGATGGAATTGTGATTAACATGGTAGTTGGAGGTGAAGTAGTGATTTTGAAAGGTCTCGAGGAGAGCAGTGGACTTATAGTAGCAGAAATGCCCATTAACGTAAGTTTTACATAAGCTCTATTCCAAATTTGTGTTCTAATGCCGGGGTATCAATTGCCACACATTTTGTTGCAGATATCTGAAATCCTATAAGCATTTTAACGTTTCTCTAATTTGGGAAAGGAATACTTGTCTGTTAAATGGACATTTCCAGCAAGCAGCATTGTTCTCCGCATTTAGGATTTGATTTGCCATTCTGTCCAAAGCACGAGGTAAGGGAAAATTGTTTAATTTGTGGTTGGAAGAATCTTGTATTCTTCCATGACTAGTTAAATATGTTTCTATTCTTCTCATCAAGAGCACATGCTCCTACTGTTACAATTGCAAGGTTCAAAGCTTTTACGTTTTGGCTATTGTACCTTTCTGATCCAAAATAGGGGGATCATTGATGGAAAGAGATTATTTCATTAATGGTTCTTGAATTATGAGCTTTATTAATATAGAGTAGGATGCACTAGATTCTTCAGATGGTTTGCTTTTCAATATTGTTCATCGAATGCAGTATAAAACCATTATGCCTTATTTGATTTCTATGTGATATTAAAGCATTGTGTTTTATTTGATTTCTTTGCTAAGAAATTGAACATATAGTTTGAATATTTTTTTATGCTGACATAGATAATTATTTATGACTCCGGTTTCTCAAGTTCGTTAGTTTACCGTCTGGTGGTGACAAGAATCAGAGAGAATTAGGCTTCGTTTGGGACGACTTTCTTACTGATTCTTAAAGCGATTTTTTAGTACAAAAATTTAATTTTTTACTAAAAAGTCTGCTTTAAGAAGTAGGAAGAAAGCTGTCCCAAACGATTGTGTATTATTTATAAAGTTTTAGGAGAGTTTTTAATAGGAAATATATAAACTATGGAATTAATAATTATGATAGTTGACAGGTTGTTGAATAAGTAGAGTGGTTCCCATGTATCAATGAGGTGGCAATGAAAGGAAAAGGAAATTGGGCGGAAATATCGATGAGTTCGAGTCTCAACTAGCAAAAATTATGCAGATGTTTCACAATCCACCTCAAAGGAATGAATGGATATCATCAATTCCAAATTTGCTAGAAAATTTCTGAAATACTGCCCCTGATAATTATTTAGTATGTCAACAAGTTATTCACCCATGATTATACATATTAGACTACTATGAAGCTTCTCCTTTATAAGGTATATCTATGACTTTAATATGCTTTGTACAATCATGTTGCACAGGAATGACAGGATTATGTGAAATATTAATTGCTGAATTGTTATCACAATAGATCATCTTAGGAAATTTGTATTTAACCATTAAATCTTATAGGAAAATTTTGAGTTGTAGAAATTTACAGATTTTCAGTTCTATAGATTTAAATTCGGCTTTTGCGTTAGATCTTTCTAGCACATTTTATTTTTTACTTATCCAAATTACGAGATTGTCTTCTAAGAATGTGAAATATCATGGTTTTTTTGTCAATCATATAGCTCACATAAGTTTCATTTGTGTATACTTCAAAGTCAATTCCTCTCTTTTTTTTTTTAGTATAATTTCTTTGCCTTTGATTTTTTTTTTTTTTTTTAATATTGTTAACTTTTATATGCAATGGAGAAAAAATATTTATGTAGCTGACCTCATTTAATAGGATAAAGACTTGGTGTTGTGTCTTTTGGAGTATTTCTAAAGTTTAGATTAAACACCATTGAGTTCCTGACAGGTTTGCATCCTAATTTACCTATTTTTATGTCATGCATTTTTGTTATGATATGAAAATTTCATGTTGTGAGTGTGCCACTCAAAAGTCAAGGTTAGCTTATCTAATTTGGACTTCAAATTATTGCAACAATTTTTCATTAGTTTTTTCATTCCTTGGAAGTCACAACTGTCATGATAATGTTGTCAATAAATACCAGTTGTGCATAGGCTTCCTTTGAAGCAAATTGTTTGACAAATAATGTATGGTTTTCTTGACTTTATATTCCATGTTTAGGATTATCTTGACGAACCTTTCAAATTGCACCCTTGGAGATTGCTTCAAGCAAGGGGTATAGGCTTGCAAGCTGGCTCGAGCCATAATTGTTAACGAGATCATAAGTCAAGTTCATCGAGCCACGAGTTCGAGCTTGAGCCTATACTCGAGCTCGAGCTTGAGCTCAGCCTGGTTCGGCTCGAAAGCTTTTTCGGTCATTTGATTAATTTAAAATTTTTTTAAAATTTAATTCAAATTAGTATTATATATATTTTAACCATTTTAAATTAATTTTATATTCAAAGTAAAAATCATGAAAAAATTAATTTAAAATTAAGAAATTGAACTCAACAATTGAGTCAAATTTGAGCTTTCTAAACTACCTATAGCTATCAATTTAAGCTCAATCTATAATTTTTTTAACAAGTCAAGCTCAAGCTTAGTAAGGAGCTTGAGCTTAGCAAGAATTAAATAAGTTTAACTTGATTTGACATGTTTACAACCTTACTTTAACTTATGCAATGGTTTTTTTAGCTCACATAACCTTTCTATAATTGAGCCGAATCTCAATTGAACCTTCATATATATTTTCTTCTCCATGTCATCATAAGAAAACATTCTTCATATCAAATTATTGTATCTACCAATCTCTATTAGCTACTAAAGATAATAAAATTCTAACATTATTTATTTTAATAATTGGAGCAAAGTTTCAAGATAATCAATCTCATATATTTTAAGTGCGGGCTTTGGCCACTAATATGGCATTATACCTTTCTAGTGAACGATAAAATTCATATTTTATAGCAGAGACTCATCCATATCCTACTAGTTTCTTTTTTTGGCAACTTTATCAATTTTCATATTTTATTTTCTTGATGGGCTTTCATTTCGTTCCTCGTAGTATTTATTTCAATTCACATTATTTAAAGTTTCAATAACTATTTTAGTGATAAAAATAGAATGCAAGCTAGTAAGAGAAATTTTTGGTGATTATGAGAAATATTTATATTTTATAGTAGAGGCTCATCTATGCTAGCCACCAAATCATCACCTTCTCTTTCTAGTTTTAAGCCCAAGAGCGAGAGAGATTATTTTGTGTGTACGTCGAACGCAGGTCATCATCTAGAGACCAATTAGAATGTGTCATATCAGTAATACCGAGCGCGGTACCGAGTGGGGGTGATGTGACATATTCTGATTGGTCTCTGGACGACGGCGTTCGGCATTCACACTGAATAATTTGCCCAAGAGTGAAGGATAAAACTCCTCATCAATGTCTATATTTGATGCCTTCAACACGAGCCTCACTTGATCACTTTCCCTCTAAATGCTCTGATTCAAGAGCTAGAGTTCCTTCTAAATTTTATTCTACGATCCTTGCTGCCTCACTATCTAAACTAGTACCCTTAGGTCACGATAAATAAGATTGGGAGCGGTTGTAATAGATTGGACGATGTTGAGTGACTAGACCGTTCTCGTTCAAAAAATACGTCTAATCACATAATCAACATTAATATTTTATAAATATATGTAGTCATCAGCTCATGAAATTATTAATAAATTGAACACTTTATTTAAATAAAAAAAAAACTTAATGCTTCAAGAATCTTTTTGAATTATTGAGGCTTTGCGAAAAGAGAAGGGTGCCTTGAATATGAAGTGATTAAGCAAGTAAAGTGGCAGTACTGTGTTCAAATTTCTTTGTTTTTTAAGGGCACTAAAGGACTCAGAGATGAACTGTTTCATTCTAAGAACAAAGTGGTTGCCATGGACTTGGTTGTACTGGGGCCTCAAGTCCTTGATTGTTGCACCTAACGATTTGTCCTTTAGCTTAGAGATAAATTCATCCATAATATTTACAATTTATCTATTAATAAAATAAAATTAATATTTATGATTTTTTGATATTAAATTCATTTATTCATTTAGATCATAATTAACTTAATAGGAAGTTGATAAAGGCAAAAAAAAAAAAAAATGAATTTTAACATTTGAGTTAAGAAATTAAAAGAAGATAAGCTATTAGGTTTTGTTCGTGATAATTTTTTTTTTAATTTTTAAAAATGAATTTATTATTATTTTTTAAAATGATTTATAGTAAAGGAAAATTTTGAGTTAGAAACTTTTTATTAAAAAATTGACGTTTTAAAAATCAATAAAAGTTGTTTTGGATGAAGACTAAGGTTTCGTTTGGGATAGCTTTTTTCCTGCTTCTTGAAACAGCTTTTTAGTTTAAAAATTAAATTTTTTGTACTAGAAAGCTGCTTCAGGAAGCAATAAAAAAGCCGTCCCAAACAAAGCCTAA